TAGAAAGGTATTGAAATGATCATCGAATATCAAATAAATAGCTTTTTCATAGGGGAGTCTTTGGGTTGTAGAAGTCATATACTCAAATAAAATAAGATTCATAAAGGTTTGTAGGGGGGAATCAAAATTTCATGGGAGGAGTCAGATTTTCTTTATGAAATTTTGACTGGTGGGGGGTTAGATTTTCATGTTACACGGGTATTCAGTAAAACATTTTCCTTAATTTGCTAGTTTCTATTAGCACAGTCCCTCAAGCCACAGCCTCTATTTTTGGTTTCTTCCTCAATCTTTGATCAGTGTCACCACACTGCTGTTCCATTTGAAGGTTGTGGACAGGTGTTTCATCCATGTTTTCACACTGATCAAACACAGAATATTCAACTGGATATTCCCCAAATCCATAGTATTCTCTGCGTTGCATAGCCAGAACCTTTGCCATTTCTGGTAATATCTTCTTTGTCAAAGCTATGCACTCATTCAGATGTGCACTAGCACATCGTTTCACACTCTCAACTACATGTAGGCCATAGATATCTTTCACTTCCTAGAATAATTCTTGGTTGAAACAGGAAAACTCGGGAGCATCTAGCTGAAAGAATTCTCATTTACCTCATTTCTACTCGGCTCTAGATGTAATGATTGAAACTTTTCGTTCAATTTGCTATGTGTTGCCCCCTGGATATTGTTATGCCGAGCATGAAACTAATTGAATGCTACAACAGCAGCAACTATTCTGATATATTCCAATGCCAGAGCATCTCTTACAAGACAAGCTAGATACCATCATTGTCTAGCTAGTTTTTCAGTAATACAGTATAGATACCCTAAAAAGATAATGGAATCATGAGAAATCTAAAAGGAAAAATGTCATCAAAACTATGAATAATGAATTACCATGATGATGTTATTGAAATAAGGTGTCAATGCCGCCATGATTTTGAGTATTTAGCTACCTTTCAAATAATCTTTTTACACAAATTTCTTAAAAACCAAATAAAAAACCATCTATTTGGCTTTGGTGAGTTTGAAATAACTTGTCAGGCCTATATAACTTTCATTCATGTTGTAGGAAGACAGTCCCGAAACAGTAGAAAATCTTGAAATTCGCGCTAAAATGCTAAAAATCGCATAATCGTAAAATGCAAGTAGCAGCTGATTCATCAATGATCTTTCAAAAAGAACATTTGAAATATTGTTTTTAGGTGTGTAAGGAACTTTTTAGCTAGTTTTGACATATTTTTTGAATTATGGACCCCCCCTACTCAAGGTCCCTGGACTCAGAGTGAAATCATGCGGGATCTTGCGAGATTTGAAGGAGGCTGGGGCCAGAAATAACGGCAGACTTCTGAGTAAAGTGCGAAAAAAAGAGACAGGGCTGACAGAATTTAGTCGCGGATATTTTCTGGTTGTTTTCTATAAAAGAGCAGTCATTTGCACAACAGTACGTATGCTCGTCATGTTTTAAGTGCCACTACTGTATACTGCTTTCTGTGACGAAATTCCAGCCGCACAGTGCTCCCTTGATGCTTAAAGATGCATATGAAGTCGATTTTTTGCAACAAAAGCTAACCAAATGCCTGCATATAGTTTCTAGTAGTATAACTCAAAAAATTACCAAAAGGCACTGTTTAATATTCCCTGAAAAATGATATTTGAATGGATTTTTCTGCAAGCGTTCTGTGCTGTACCCGGTATATCAATGGGGCAGAAAAGTGGGTCACGAAAGTAGGTTAAATTTCTGACCAAAAATTTAAAGAAAGCAGTCTACAGCTCTTTTATGGCAGAGATTTATTAAGTTTATCCCTTGGCATGTTGATTTTATTTGAGTCATGTTAGAAACAAGTAGAAGTGGTTTATATATGTTATTGTGAATCCAAGCTCCGCTGANGATTTTTTGAAAAAAAAAAAAAAAAAAAAAAAAAAAAAAAAGCCAGCCAAATACCAGCATATAGTTTCGAGCAGTATGACTAAGAGAATTACCAAAAGACATTGTTTAATATTCCCCGAAAAATGATATTTGGACGGATTTTTCTCCTAGTATACTATATATGCTGTATAAAAATGGGGCAGAAAAGTATATCACGAAAGTACAGTAGGTTAAATTTACGACCAAAAAATTTAAAGAAAGGAGCAGTCTAAAGCTTTTTTATGGCTGATCAAGTGATTTATTCAGTTTATCCCTTGGCATGTCGAATTTATTTGAGTCGTATAGGAAACTAGTAGAAGTGGCTTACATGTGTTATTAGGAATCCCCGCTCCACCGATGCTAGGTACCTTTAAAATACAGGTGAGCCTCAGCTCACATGGACTCTTGAAAATGTCCCCGTCTCCTTTGTTGAATAAATTGCCATTTGCATACATGTACATGTACGTTAGGACTACACACATATGCATTTAACATGGAGAGTATACATCTCTTTTCTCGCTAGTTTTTAAAAGCAAATCAAACTTACCACAGAAAAGGATGCATAAAGATACGTAGCATTTTATTTTGTTGTAATGCATAGCCAACGCACCAACCAAACCAAAAAGAAGAGACACTGAACTATAGAGCTGAATTTATTTTTCCAGTGCAGGAATTTCCACCTATGTAATATTTTGCATGATCTTCTGTGGGATCAAATGCCTAAGGGATTGCCTAAGGGATAGTTCTACAAGTACCGAGGCGGTAAGTACACCACCTCTATCTTTGTACATGTGTAATATTACAATTACGTTTTGATCAAGTCTGGTACACCTCCAGTTTCATGGGGGTTTTGTTAATAAATTGTCACTTGGCAGCTGTAAACCGTTTAAAATAGTGCTTTCTATTCCACATACCATATCTACCATACATGTACTCTCTACCAGATTGATAATCACTAGATATTCACAGGTCTGTCTCTGGCTAATTCATGACACAATTGTCTACCACGTTAGAGAAAAGGGCACATAAAATTAAATTGCGGCCCTGGCAGAGGGTAGGGGAGACCGGGGCTAATTGGCCCAGTTAGACACTTTTGGCTTGTTGAGCCAACTAGGAATGAGTTAGAGTAACAAACCCGGTTTCGAAGTAAGCCCCATGAAATAAGCTACGCATGCAACGTCATTATTTTTCACAATTTGACAAAAAAAAAAAAAAACAAACAAAAAAAAAACAAAACGCAACTGACGTCAGGT